TCAAAGTGCCTGTACTCCCTCCAATAGCAATAACATCTCAAAGTGCCTGTACTCCCTCCAATAGTAATAACATCTCAAAGTGCCCATACTCCCTCCACTAGCAATAACATCTCAAAGTGCCCATACTCCCTCCAATAGTAATAACATCTCAAAGTGCCCATAATCCCTCCAATAGCAATAACATCTCAAAGTGCCTGTACTCCCTCCAATAGCAATAACATCTCAAAGTGCCTGTACTCCCTCCAACAGTAATAACATCTCAAAGTGCCCATACTCCCTCCAATAGTAATAACATCTCAAAGTGCCTGTACTCCCTCCAATAGTAATAACATCTCAAAGTGCCCATACTCCCACCAATAGCAATAACATCTCAAAGTGCCCATACTCCCTCCAATAGCAATAACATCTCAAAGTGCCTGACTCCCTCCAATAGGAATAACATATCAAAGTGCCCATACTCCCTCCAATAGCAATAACATCTCAAAGTGCCTGTACTCCCTCCAATAGCAATAACATCTCAAAGTGCCTGACTCCCTCCAATAGCAATAACATCTCAAAGTGCCTGACTCCCTCCAATAGCAATAACATCTCAAAGTGCCTGACTCCCTCCAATAGCAATAACATCTCAAAGTGCCCATACTCCCTCCAATAGCAATAACATCTCAAAGTGCCTATACTCCCTCCAATAGCAATAACATCTCAAAGTGCCCATACTCCCTCCAATAGCAATAACATCTCAAAGTGCCCATACTCCCTCCAATAGCAATAACATCTCAAAGTGCCTATACTCCCTCGAATAGCAATAACATCTCAAAGTGCCTGTACTCCCTCCAATAGCAATAACATCTCAAAGTGCCTGACTCCCTCCAATAGCAATAACATCTCAAAGTGCCTGACTCCCTCCAATAGCAATAACATCTCAAAGTGCCTGTACGCCCTCCAATAGCAATAACATCTCAAAGTGCCTGTACTCCCTCCAATAGCAATAACATCTCAAAGTGCCTGTACTCCTTCCAATAGTAATAACATCTCAAAGTGCCCATACTCCCTCCAATAGTAATAACATCTCAAAGTGCCTGTACTCCCTCCAATAGCAATAACATCTCAAAGTGCCTGTACTCCCTCCAATAGCAATAACATCTCGAAGTGCCTGTACTCCCTCCAATAGCAATAACATCTCGAAGTGCCTGTACTCCCTCCAATAGTAATAACATCTCAAAGTGCCCATACTCCCACCAATAGCAATAACATCTCAAAGTGCCCATACTCCCTCCAATAGCAATAACATCTCAAAGTGCCTGTACTCCCTCCAATAGTAATAACATCTCAAAGTGCCCATACTCCCTCCAATAGTAATAACATCTCAAAGTGCCTGTACTCCCTCCAATAGCAATAACATCTCAAAGTGCCTGTACTCCCTCCAATAGCAATAACATCTCAAAGTGCCCATACTCCCTCCAATAGCAATAACATCTCAAAGTGCCTGTACTCCCTCCAATAGCAATATCATCTCAAAGTGCCCATACTCCCTCCAATAGCAATAACATCTCAAAGTGCCCATACTCCCTCCAATAGTAATAACATCTCAAAGTGCCTATACTCCCTCCAATAGCAATAACATCTCAAAGTGCTCATACTCCCTCCAATAGCAATAACATCTCAAAGTGCCCATACTCCCTCCAATAGCAATAACATCTCAAAGTGCCTGACTCCCTCCAATAGTAATAACATCTCAAAGTGCCTGTACTCCCTCCAATAGCAATAACATCTCAAAGTGCCCATACTCCCTCCAATAGCAATAACATCTCAAAGTGCCCATACTCCCTCCAATAGCAATAACATCTCAAAGTGCCTGACTCCCTCCAATAGTAATAACATCTCAAAGTGCCTGTACTCCCTCCAAGAGCAATAACATCTCAAAGTGCCCATGCTCCCTCCAATAATAATAACATCTCAAAGTGCCTGTACTCCCTCCAATAGTAATAACATCTCAAAGTGCCCATACTCCCTCCACTAGCAATAACATCTCAAAGTGCCTGTACTCCCTCCAATAGTAATAACATCTCAAAGTGCCCATACTCCCTCCACTAGCAATAACATCTCAAAGTGCCCATGCTCTCTCCAATAGTAATAACTTCTCAAAGTGCCTGTACTCCCTCCAATAGCAATAACATCTCGAAGTGCGTGTACTCCCTCCAATAGCAATAACATCTCGAAGTGCCTGTACTCCCTCCAATAGTAATAACATCTCAAAGTGCCCATGCTCCCACTAATAGCAATAACATCTCAAAGTGCCTGTACTCCCTCCAATAGCAATAACATCTCAAAGTGCCTGTACTCCCTCCAATAGTAATAACATCTCAAAGTGCCTGTACTCCCTCCAATAGCAATAACATCTCAAAGTGCCTGTACTCCCTCCAATAGTAATAACATCTCAAAGTGCCTGTACTCCCTCCAATAGCAATAACATCTCAAAGTGCCTGTACTCCCTCCAATAGCAATAACATCTCAAAGTGCCTGTACTCCCTCCAATAGTAATAACATCTCAAAGTGCCTGACTCCCTCCAATAGCAATAACATCTCAAAGTGCCTGTACTCCCTCCAATAGCAATAACATCTCAAAGTGCCTGTACTCCCTCCAATAGTAATAACATCTCAAAGTGCCTGACTCCCTCCAATAGCAATAACATCTCAAAGTGCCTGTACTCCCTCCAATAGTAATAACATCTCAAAGTGCCTGTACTCCCTCCAATAGTAATAACATCTCAAAGTGCCTGACTCCCTCCAATAGCAATAACACCTCAAAGTGCCCATACTCCCTCCAATAGCAATAACATCTCAAAGTGCCCATACCCCCCCCCAATAGCAATAAAATCTCAAAGGGCCCATACTCCCCCCAATAGCAATAACATCTCAAAGTGTAATTATTCTGCCAAAGAGTGCTGACCAGCTGAGACAGGGTTTAAATCACCTGACATAAACCTTTACAGCAGAAATATTGTTCACAGCACAACAAATTGACACTTAACCACAATATTGAGTTGGAAAAAAAAAATACAAACAACTATCGTTCTCTGTATGCTAACAAAAGAAACTACTGCAGCCAGTGAAGTAGATGTTAATTGTAAACATTTGACTCTAGAAAAGTTCTATAAGGGTTGTGTGCAATCTACAAAAACACTACTAAGCATGCTAAGTTAAGTATATTTTTATGACACAGAGAAAGAATTTTGTATTTTTTTATAGTAATGCTAATGGCCATTTTGACTCGCTGTTAGGCATAGGTCATAATCAGTCAATGCAATGTTTGTTACATGTTTTCTAGGACCGTGGAAACATCTCAGTCTGGGAATCAGAAAGGAAACAGAAGATGCATACAACCAAATCGTTTTCTTTAATATGCCATCTGTTGTCCGCCATCTTACCTGATGCAAGCTTCAGAGACAGGTTAAAATTTCGCCATAAATTTAAGATGTGCCAGTTTTAGACAGTTTCAATAATATATTGATGATCATAATCTTTTTTGGCTAAGTCACATTTACAACAACCTTTAGCAAGAAAACAGCTTGGTGAATGAGGCTGCATGTTTACAGAGTTGGATGAGGTAAACTAAAAATCAAAAATGGTACTCAAACCGATGGTGACATACTGAGGAACATTCAGATCAAAATCAACTTCATTTTCACTATGAAAGTAGGTAATAATGACAAATAAATGGTTAATTGTGTTATTTTATACATTTTCTTAATTCAGAACTTCAACTTTGGCCTTCATCTGAATTTTGCAAAGTACATTTTGCTGAGATTCCAGAGTCTATTTCACCCTATTCAGCAGCAAATTAGCCAGGGCTCACCTGCCTAATGAAGACAAACGAGATGAGAGTGATGGTTTCAGATTCTCCTACAACACCAGGTAGCCATGTGTACATTACTGAAATGTGGCCATGAACAGGTATCACACTAACAGAAGCACTGCTATCACATGGCCTGCATTATACATGCTGCAGCCTTCACAACTCACAAAGGTATCACACCACAAACTCCTACATAATATACAACACCATGCATCCTTAAACATGTTAAAGATGTTCCCTTTATACATCATTTTAATGATTTGTTCTCAAAGTTGGTTAGAGATGAAAGCTTAAGTCTTCCTAGGCATTGGCTCAATGCAGTGTTCATGGTGTTTGCTGAGCTATTGAAAATAGTTTGGGTATGATGCTCTGTGCTGTATATATGGTCCTCCAAACCCTTCAAGGTCCTCAACATAAAAGCCAAGGTGTCAGGGCTTCGGTCAAGTTGAACTGGGGATTGCAACAATGAGCTAAATGGGTCATGTGAGAGATGGCGGTGAAGTTGTGCAGTCATTGTCAGAATAGTCATTGATGAGACATAACAGTTCAAAGGGAAGACATACTTTTCTCCTTTTCAAATCTCTACACTGACATTGGGAGTGGAATATTTCTAACATGCATGTCTTCTCCCTTTCATCACAAGTGAATGGGTGGTTTCAACTGTTTATAAGTATGAACAGTTAATACAAACACATACCCTGAAGAAGATGAAAATCAATAACTGATCATGTTTGTGCAAAATACAGATGACTTGATAAGAAAGGACCAAGCCCATCTTTTGTCAAAGAAAAGTACAGACAGGATCTGGGGCTACATTACCCCATAATAGACAGGAATTTACTTTCAACCAATCAGATTAACCCAACCCATCAATATTTCATTAACCCAAGAACAAAATGAAAAATGCCACATGCCAATGAATGCATGAAGAAAGTATTTTATCTATTAAGAAATGAGTGGATAGACACTAAAATGTCACATTCAGGGTATAGACTTGTATAGACAGTTGTTTCTGAAAAATGGCACCGAACGCTACATCGACAAAATCAAACTTATTAGCATTATCAGTCAGTCGAGCAAGAGTTGTGTATGTTCCCCGGAGACATGTTGTCAGCTGAGAGTCTAGCTTGATGTAGATGCTACTTACCTCCTCAACACGGAGATCTCATTCTCCAGGGCTTCTTCCTTGCCTAGTAAACCTTTCCTGTCAATACATTTCACTGCCATGTACTTCCCCCTGTTTAATTTGTCTTCTCCTAACACAACCTCTGAGAATGCACCTCTGAAACACAAAAGAAACATCATGAGTTACCAGTTAACATTGGTCTTGACATCCTGGTCTTAAGTGAAACACATGCTGTGCAGAAGAATAGTAACATTCATTTATTACCCATAGGATTAGAAATAACCAAATTAATAATAATCGTATGTGCCCTTTTGCAAAAAATCACATCACATGCATCAGTGTATAGTTTGTGTCATCAGGGCAGAATTGCTGATGTTATTCAAATCTCATTGGGACATAAGGTCGGAATATCGTCACATCAGCAGTGACATCATAGCTGAAGAGTGTTGACATCATTTGACAGTTGTGGTTTTCTGAGATGGCTATCGTGATCAGTGCATTTTTCTATTGGGGACCTCAAAAGGATATTGAAATCATGGATAATAACATAGAGATTATAACACTCACATTTATGTCATACGGATTTTATGAAACAGGTGTAAAGATACGTATATTACCCTCACACTCACTCAGGAAATACAGGAATTCTGACACTTGTTTCATAAAATCAGTATGACACACATGTTTGTATAATAATCTCTTTGTCTCATAACTTCAGGAAACTGACTTGACTGCCAGAGTCGATGGTGATTGGGTGTGATATGTACTTATGATGAGTCAAAATAATGCAGTTGGAAGCACATCTTGAGAAGAGCATCAATTGAAACTTGGGTATCGAGAAAACAGCTAAGGTTTGTAGTATTTGTTTGTTAGTTAGTTGTTTAACGCCACACTAAGCAATATTCCAGCTATATGATGTCAGCCTGCAAATAAATAAGTCTGGACCAGGTACACCAGTGGTTCAGGCCCTTGGGGCACAATGACACACGATCAATCAACTCACCATGTCTGACCACCTGGTACATTCAGTCAGCTCTCATGACCAGCATGAGGTTGCTGAGTACCTAGTCTAACCAGGTCCTCCATAAATACAATACATTGTCTGTAAGATGATAAGGCTACCACCTGGCATGCAGCAGAACATGCAGGAAGACAGATTGAGATCAATCACATTAAACATTCTAAGATCTCATGTGACATGATACCCACTAAACCAATACACACATGACCCAGGTGTTGTCCGAGCCTCAACTGATTTGATATGATACCCACTAAACAAATACACACATGATCCAAGTGTTGTCCGAGCCTCAACTGATTTGACATGATACCCACTAAACCAATACCCACATGACCCAGGTGTTGTCCGAGCCTCAACTGATTTGACATGATACCCACTAAACAAATACACACATGACCCAAGTGTTGTCCGAGCCTCAACTGATATGACATGATACCCACTAAACCAATACACACATGACCCAAGTGTTGTCCGAGCCTCAACTGATTTGACATGATACCCACTAAACCAATACACACATGACCCAAGTGTTGTCCGAGCCTCAACTGATTTGACATGATACCCACTAAACCAATACACACATGACCCAAGTGTTGTCCGAGCCTCAACTGATTTGACATGATACCCACTAAACCAATACACACATGACCCAAGTGTTGTCCGAGCCTCAACTGATTTGACATGATACCCACTAAACCAATACACACATGATCCAAGTGTTGTCCGAGCCTCAACTGATTTGACATGATACCCACTAAACCAATACACACATGACCCAGGTGTTGTCCGAGCCTCAACTGATTTGATATGATACCCACTAAACCAATACACACATGATCCAAGTGTTGTCCAAGCCTCAACTGATTTGACATGATACCCACTAAACCAATACACACATGACCCAAGTGTTGTCCGAGCCTCAACTGATTTGACATGATACCCACTAAACCAATACACACATGACCCAAGTGTTGTCCGAGCCTCAACTGATTTGACATGATACCCACTAAACCAATACACACATGACCCAAGTGTTGTCCGAGCCTCAACTGATTTGACATGATACCCACTAAACCAATACACACATGATCCAAGTGTTGTCCGAGCCTCAACTGATATGACATGATACCCACTAAACCAATACACACATGACCCAAGTGTTGTCCGAGCCTCAACTGATTTGACATGATACCCACTAAACCAATACACACATGACCCAAGTGTTGTCCGAGCCTCAACTGATTTGACATGATACCCACTAAACCAATACACACATGACCCAAGTGTTGTCCGAGCCTCAACTGATTTGACATGATACCCACTAAACCAATACACACATGACCCAAGTGTTGTCCGAGCCTCAACTGATATGACATGATACCCACTAAACAAATACACACATGACCCAGGTGTTGTCCGAGCCTCAACTGATATGACATGATACCCACTAAACAAATACACACATGACCCAAGTGTTGTCCGAGCCTCAACTGATATGACATGATACCCACTAAACAAATACACACATGACCCAAGTGTTGTCTGAGCTTCAACTGATTTGACATGATACCCACTAAACAAATACACACATGACCCAAGTGTTGTCCGAGCCTCAACTGATATGACATGATACCCACTAAACCAATACACACATGACCCAAGTGTTGTCCGAGCCTCAACTGATTTGACATGATACCCACTAAACCAATACACACATGACCCAAGTGTTGTCCGAGCCTGAGTCAACTGATGGATGAAGAAATATATGTTATATTAACATTGTGCCAAACCGTTCTATCAAGACATCATCATTCAAAAGTATTATGATAGCTGTGAAAAAGTTATTTAGACCACTGCTCTGTAAGAATACATCCCACACTGAAATGCTCACTGTGTACTGCCACAGATCCCGTTGTGCGGCTACTAATGGATACTTGGGAGTAAATGGATCTCTGGAGGATTGACAAGTAATCTGCTTTTAGCCTTGCCATATTAAATATCTTACTCCCAATGTGAGACATTGGCTAACAAAAGAACACAGTTTAGTAAGGAAAGTCTTGTGAATTATTTCTTCCTGAATCTGCTTTGCCCTCCATACCACAAATACAGGTCCACCTATCTCACATGTTCATGACATGTGAACACTGTACAGGCTTTATTCAACATGTTTAGGTGGTCATTTCTCAAACAGACCTAGCTGATCAATCAGAAGACAAAATAACACATTATAAACAATCACACATATTTTTGCAAAACCATTCCATTATTAAAACATGCACAGATTAAGCACATCCAAACGAACTTCCCAAATACTACTCTATGCTATTAGATAAATGACATGATTCCTGCTTCAGAGAACAAGAACAAAGTGGGTAGCCAGGGCCCTGACAGCTGCTTTATGTGTTTGACCGGGATTAGATTACATTGATTACTTCAAGTCAATATCCAGTACTGCACTACTGAGGTCAGAGGGGGAAACAAAACAGATAAAGCCCAGTGTCAGCCTCATGTAGGAGACTAGATGCTGTGTCAACCTCTGTTGGGGACTAGATGCTGTGTCAGCCTCTTGTAGGGGACTAGATGCTGTGTCAACCTCGTGTTGGGGACTAGATGCTGTGTCAGCCTCGTGTAGGGGACTAGATGCTGTGTGTCAGCCTCTTGTAGGGGACTAGAGGCTGTGTCAGCCTCATGTAGGAGACTAGATGCTGTGTCAGCCTCGTGTTTGGGACTAGATGCTGTGTCAGCCTCATGTAGGAGACTAGATGCTGTGTCAGCCTCATGTAGGAGACTAGATGCTGTGTCAGCCTCGTGTTGGGGACTAGATGCTGTGTCAGCCTCGTGTAGGGGACTAGATGCTGTGTCAGCCTAATGTAGGAGACTAGATGCTGTGTCAGCCTCGTGTTGGGGACTAGATGCTGTGTCAGCCTCTTGTAGGAGGCTAGATGCTGTGTCAGCCTCGTGTAGGGGACTAGATGCTGTGTCAGCCTCATGTAGGAGGCTAGATGCTGTGTCAGCCTCATGTAGGGGACTAGATGCTGTGTCAGCCTTGTGTTGGGGACTAGATGCTGTGTCAGCCTCTTGTAGGAGGCTAGATGCTGTGTCAGCCTCGTGTAGGGGACTAGATGCTGTGTCAGCCTCATGTAGGGGACTAGATGCTGTGTCAGCCTCAAGTAGGGGACTAGATGCTGTGTCAGCCTCTTGTAGGAGACTAGATGCTGTGTCAGCCTCATGTTGGGGACTAGATGCTGTATCAGCCTCATGTAGGGGACTAGATGCTGTGTCAGCCTCAAGTAGGGGACTAGATGCTGTGTCAGCCTCATGTAGGGGACTAGATGCTATGTCAGCCTCGTGTTTGGGACTAGATGCTGTGTCAGCCTCATGTAGGGGACTAGATGCTGTGTCAGCCTCATGCAGAAGACTAGATGTTGTCCTCTGAAAGCTTCAGCATAATTGCTAAATGATACACATTGATGACTTCAGAGCACTTTAATTAACATTTCTGGAAAGGTCAGAATCCCATTCCTAGACAATTGTTTTATTTTACATTTGATTTTTCCCCTTTCTTGTCCTTTTGAAAATATGACACCTTCCCTGTGTGAAAATCTCTTCTTCCTTAAGAAGTATTTTCCTACAGCTTATATGGAGCTCAACTAATTCAGTCACCTGGCTCAAGGATTCATTATACTCCTCATTACACCTGCAGCTCATGTAAAACCAACCACAACAAACTACTTCAACAAATTCTAATCGTAACCCACAGGTACATGTACCACTCAACTCTTTCATCACGAACAGTCAGCTATGACATAATATTGTGAAAGAGTGGAAACATCACAGGCAAGTCCGGAGGATGTCACCTCTAGTGAAGCATTCATCTCACCCTTGTGACTATGTACAACAGGATTCATTAGTCTGCCCGGCACTGGCCTGGTCACCCATGTGAGGTGCAAGGCCAGTTTCACTGTGTGGTGGAGCAGGAGTAGATAGATAGCCAGTGGTCAATGACCTGGCAATGGTGTAGACAAGCCTGGGGGCATGGCAGATAATGACCAGCACACACAGCACTCACAGGCCATCTCTGTGACTGGAATTTCAGGACATTTTATGTGTGGGCTGAAATACTGGGAGTCAAGCA